TATATATATATATATATATATTAAGTGCTCAATCACTTTGCACCCGCCACTCGAACGCGTCGCGTCGCGTCGAAATTAATTTTTATCAAACCCATTTTACTCGACTTTTGTATGTGCTCGTGACTCAGTACACCTTGTTACGTAGTTACGATAGCTTCCGAGTAACTACAATTGCCAACAAGAAATTGTTCTCCGATTGTAGCAGACTCGTACGATTCCATCCATTGCCATATTGAAGAGCACGATCCGACGATTTGAAAATTAAATGGAAAGCCGATCAAGTCAAAAATAATTCATTCAGTCCGATCGTAAGTTTTGCTAATATATCAAGTTTTAACTGATGTACGTTTCAAGGCCAATCTTAAACTTAATTAACCCAAACAAATTCCATTATACATTGTGTATGGTTCTTGCTAATTTTCGTCATACGAGGACTTTTCGGTCATTCAAAATTACACAGGGGTTCTGCGCAATTAACTCAGTAATATATATTTGTTAATAATTGTAGAAGACTCGATATTTGTTATTATAGGATTTCTTCAGTTGATCAACTGAAGAAGACATCAATTTGTGGCAACAAATTAAAGCCCGGCCCGGTTTCAATAATTATTCAAAATTAATTAAATCTTTACTTTTCAATAGTGTGTATTTATGTTACAAGAAAGAGTTAATTCATTGGACAACAAATAAAAAAAAAAGAGTGACAATTTTATTCATGTTTCGTTTTTACACAAAAGAAGCACTTATCTTCCTATTTACATTGTTACATTTCAATAAAATCAATCAACCAAATGCAATTAAAAAAAGAAACAAGAAACATATATAAAAAAAAAAAAAAATCAACAATCACAACATTTTCTCTTCTAGTAAAAATAAATAATGCGTTCAAAGGAATATTTCTATATATTACATGGTTGATGTGTACTTAATTAATTCTAAAAAATCACATTTATGTAAGAAAGAAGGAACAGAGTATAAGTGAATATGATGACTATCTATATATATCATAGCAAATAATTATATATTTGTTTGCAAGTTAAACTCTGCAAACCATCACTTTTAATACTCTTTCTTTTATGATTAAATTCTCATATTTTTTTTTTTTTAATTTTTAATTTTTAAAGGAATTCTTGACTTCAACTGAAGAATAAATGTATTTTTGGCAGCAAATTAAGCCCTGTTTCAAATAGCCAAATCTCCTGTTTCGATTCGGAGTGGAAATCGATCGGAATTTGTATTTAAAGAATTTCGTCCCGATTTCAACAAGAAAAAGGTTGATATATCATTTTCACAAGAAAGAGAAGCATTTATCTTTCAATTTACAATTTAAATTTACATATATAGCTCAATCAACCAAAAGGAAGAGCAAATTTAAACAATTAAAAAAAAAAAAAAAAAGAAGAAGAAGAAGAAGAAGAAGAAGAAGCAATCCCCGAACTCGATCGCGATCGCAATCACAATTTTTATAATAAAAAATGATGAAAAAAAATCACCAACCGAAGCTAATGGACTCGTAATGCAGATTAGCAGCCAAACCGGACGAGCATATATTCGCCACCTCATGTCTCATTTTCTTCGGGCCACAAACGAGTACTCCAACGCTCGATTCTTTTCGCTCGAACAAAACTCCTACAAAAACAAAAATATCTTGAGAAACAAATATTTTTTTTCAAAAAAAGTACATGCATGATCTTAATTAGTTACTCACTCTTAAGATCCGGCCTTTCACCATAATGCAAATTAATCAACTGCGATATCGACTGTTGAGGCAAGCTCTCCAATTCTCTATCCGCGTTATAAAACGACGAATTCGGCGAGGCTTGGGGGGTGGCCCCCTCCATGTGCTGTATTTGTGTAGTTTTGATCTCCCTTGCATTTTTACTCTTGTTCATTGAAAAAGCCGAAGTTGCAGCGATAAATATGCCGATGCATAGGAATAGCATGTGGATCAAAGCTCTTGAAGAAGTTGCGTATATCTTGTTTGTGTTACGATCAATGGGGTAAATTGTATATCTCGTCAAAATACCGATGAAAATAAGGTAAATGATAAAGGAAGATGAGATTATAGCACCGAGCCATAAATAGCTATTCGGTCCTAAAATCGGAGATATTGGTGCATCGGATGGGTTGGGCTTGAGCCACACGGTTCGAATTTTCGTATTTTCTTGTTCTTTAGGTGGGGCCGCTCTCTCTCTTGTTACGTACGCCTCGATTTTTAAGTCCAAATTTGGAAACTCTGGTGGAGCACCGCAGAGAGGGAGGATTAAATCGAGCAAGGTTAAGTCGTTTGAGTTCTTGAACGAGGTGATTAGTAGAATTTCGGGCGTTTTGCATTTCAAATTCTCGCTTGTGTAGATTAGCTCGCGGATGATCGATATAAACGGGGTTACGCCACTTCCTCCGCTCACCATCACCAAAAGCTCGTGCCTTATCGACCCAAAAGAAGAAAAAAATCCGAGAAATTAAAATGGGGTTCTATATATAATATTTTTCAAGATTGATCATTTAATCTAAAACTTTAAGCTGATCCGATTAAAATTAATATCGAATACTACCTTAGGAAGTCGGTTGAAGTGGGCCCGTAAGGCCCTTCGGTTGAAACATCGAGACGATCGATCGAAGAAGAGAGCATTTGGTAGAGCTTATTAGACCATTTTCCTTCTCCTTTGATTATGACACTTAGCTTATCAGACTCGAGACTGCTGCTCGAGCTAACGGTGAACGGATGCCACTGCATCTTCGAAATTGTCGGGACATTCAAGAATATAATGCTCGTCGGACTGTAACGCAAACCTAGGCAAAAACAAATATAACAAACATCAATAAATTATTACAACAAGTACAAAACATTCTGTGGTCCAACTTTGCTCGCCTTTTGCGACAACCGATAGTAAAAAATAAAAAGTCAACGCCGATCAGTAGACGTTGAGAAGTTGAGCTCGACAACTTGGTGGTCAACTGCCTTTTACATATGAGATAGATATATATACCTGTGGTCTTCGAGAAGTTGAGTTCGACAGCTTGACAAGGAAGAACCCTAGCGGACAAGAGACGAACGTTTGACCTAGATTGCAAGAATCTGAGGTAACGGTCGATAAGGAAGAGGAAGAAACCGGGAAGCATCGTGGTTGTGTAATTGATTCCGACGTGGAGGATGAAGAAGACGACGAACGGAATGTACATGTGGTGCGTGTAGAAGAACACCTCGAACATTTTTCTCCTTATCCTCGGGAACGTGGTGGCCCACAGTACTAATCCCGCGACGAGGGATAACTCGCCGGCGATGGCCGAGAAGCCGGTTTTCTTCCATTCTAGCAATTTATGCAATTTACGGACGCTAGCCCAATAGACGACGTAACCGAAGCTATGGGCGGTGAAAAGTGTCATGACGATATGGCCCAACCATATGTGATATTTAACGCTACCCTCCGATGTCAGCCCAAATAGCGGCAGCACCGACGAGCCACGTGTCACCGGGAAGAAGAGAAACACAAAGGCTATGTTTCCGACTATTGCTAGCCAGTCCGAGGTTCTGTCTAGCTTCACTTCCCACCTGCATGCATGCGCCATATGCACACATACATATATATATACATTAATTAAACAGTAGAACCTCGATAAATTAATAACTTCGCTTAAATAATAATTTTTTTGGGGCCCGTCTCGATAAATTCTATGAATTCGCTAAATTAATAAAATTTCTCTTGTCCCGGGTACGGTGTATTAATTTATAAAGATTTAACTGTATATAGTGAGAAAAAGAGAATGAAAATTCTTACACAAGTTGTCCCTTTTTTGCAGCTGTGTTTGGTGTAATGGTTGCAAAGTTGATGCGCATATATGTAGCAAAGCTCCAAACAAGAAGAGCAATAAACATTATAAAAAATGCAACCTCAATCCGAGTTACTACACCTAATCCTTTTATAATCATAGGCCTTTTCCACATTGCCAACCTATGATTATTATTATTTCCATTGATCTCTCTGTTTGTTAAAAAAAAAAAAAAAAAAAAAAAAGTATTAAATTTTTTTCTTGTATAAAATGTGTAATAATAAATAGAATAAATATTATGTACCCTTTGGTATGATTGTCAATCGATTTCTTTCCTAGATAAACATACACACACCCTAACACCGCAATGAATAGAATCGGAAATGCGAACACCAAGTAAGTCGCACCTGCAAAACATCAACGTACGAAAAACGATTTTGTTATACCAAAATATATCTTATGTATATATTTTTCATTTTCGTGTGCATGCATGAACGATAGATCGATGTTATATAATTACTTAGCGAATTTCATCCGATATCGACTATCGAATAAATTAATTTAATATCATATAAAGTTGAACTATATATATATATATATACCCTGGATGGTTCCGAAGTAAGTAGAAGTGGTTTGTTCTCGAATCTCCGGCAGCCAATTGAGGCGGTAAGGATTAGTTGGTATCATAACCCACAAGAAGAGGTAACCGGAAAAGACGATCATCACCACCACCATTATCGCCGCCCTTATCGTGTTGTTGCCGCCACCGAAAGGTGGTACTACTGATGATCTTTGTGGGTCCATTTATATTTTTTTTTTCTTCTTATACACGAGGAATGAACTTGTAACGATATATGTTGTGTTGTACAATGCAGAATGTTTAGAGAACGATGGCCTTTATATAATATTATTCTTAGGAATTCTATACGTGTGTATATATATATATATATATATATATATATTTGCAACTGGACTGAAAAAATGGCAGCATGAAAAACACACACAAAAGATGAAATGAAGTGAGATTTTATTTGAATTATTACTAGTCACATATAAATGATTAGAGTGCAAATTTAGACCGAATGACCTGTTTTAATAGAAAAATCGAATGCCATAGAATAATTGACACGTGGATAATTTAAATAAAAAGATAATTAAAATTCTAATAATTGGAAAAAGAAAAAGAAAAAAAAAGAAAACTCCAGCATATTTCGTAGCCTTTCTAACCCAATAATCAGCGTAATTTATTAAGAGTTAAGACTTAAGAGTGTCACATATCAAAAAATTAATAGAATTCAATTTATATTAAATGTCCGCTGAGAATTTAATCTCAAATGATTAATTAGGGGTGAGAATTTCAGACAAGTTGACTATTTTTGACGAAGTCAAACCCTCAAACCAAACAGTTTTTCCATCTCTCACTCGTAGATTGCGTTGCATGGTTCATGCAGCCAACTTAATTCTGTACGTAGGTCTCTTCTGGGGGATTTTTATTTCAATAAATAAATTAATTAATTAATCCGCGCGTGTGCCACAATCAATTCGGTACACGTGTACACTGTTACGAATGCAAGTCAATTGAGAAAAGTGCGGGAGCCTTGTGTTTCTGTGCGTCCAAGAATAATTGTCCACGTGCTTAATGTGTGTCTGCAGGTGTTTTAGCCTTTCAACTTAATTAGCCACGTGTTTTTCCCCCCTTGAAGAAGAAGAGATTGTGTGTCGGTATTTCTTTTTGGAAAATATTAGTTAAAATTCATAATTTTATTATTTACATACAAGAGTAAAATTATTTTCCGATAATTATTAATTCTTCTATATATTTTCAAAAAATAACATTTAATCATTTTAAATACAATTTTTAGTTAATAATTAGTCTTTAAAAGAGGGTATTTGTAATATTTTAAGATACATACGGTCTATATTACGTAAACTATATAATATAGTTTACGTAATATTTGGTTTAAAGGTAAAATTGAAATTAAAAAAAATGAAGGGAGATTTGCGTCATTTTTCTAACTAGATGAGGTCTAGTTATACAGTTTTGTAGAACCTACACTTACTGAATTACATAATGTAGTTTATAATTGTAGATCTACATATAATAACACACATGTGTATATGTGATAGTAGGTAGTTATTTATATTTAACCTGACCTGAAAGGAGGTTGATGTAATTTACCATATTAATTATTTAATCAAGTAGTGTGTCAAGTGAATTGAAAAATATATTTAAGGCCTTAAAAATTAATATTGTATCCAATTATTAATCATGTAAGTTGATGATTACTAGTCATGAACCATGCATATCATTATATAATTCAAATTTGAAGGTTGAAATTAAAAATAATAAATAATAAATAAAAATAAATAAATAAATGACTCATTTATTTATTAAATTGGAGAGAAAGGGCAACAAAGAGAGATGGGTCGGGCATATTCGGGTCGGTGTACACATTGATCAATGAGGTAGGACAAGTGCATGTATGTATGCCAAATAATTTATGTATTATAAGGAAATTTAAATGCATATATATATATATATATATTAATGTCAAATCACCCATATAAAAATGGTTTTTTACTACGACAATTAACCGTAGCAAAAGGTATCAAATTCGTAGTAAAAAGACTTTTGCTACGCATTTGCTACGAATTTGCCCCGTAGCATATACGGGCGTGACAAAAACTTTGCTACAGTAAATAGCCGTACCAAATATTTTTTTACTACGGTAAATCCTAGTATTTACTACGACTTCG